CAGCATCCTAATTTTGATGCAATTTCGTGCACTTTGTTGCCGCCGTTATCGAACACCTGGCTTAATTAGTCTAACCATTGTTGGTCGGCCTTTACGATGTAACATTCGCTGCTGCTGCTGCTGCTGCTGCGATTCGGTGTATTCGCAGAATTAATCGTTCGGTTTAGCGTGTTAAATTTTTAATCCCGTCTGGTGGAATCGCGTTCCATTAAATAATCCTATTGCGTCCGTGTTAAACAAATATTTCTTCCGTTAGAATGTATTAGTATTTAATCTCATATTGTATCGAGATCTTTTTAATTGTTTTAATAAATTTGATGAGATAAAAAAGAATTTAGGAATTAGATGATAAAAAATAATAGTTGGTATTTCTCGATCAAACATATGAGAGACACGTATTTACGAGCTTCCATTTCCTTTTTTCCATTCAATCAAACATTCCAGAAAAAAAAAAATCATTCAAAATCTATCTTATTCCTATTATCTCGATTTTATGTCAACAATCGAAAAAATTCTCCATACTGGTACGATATAAAATGAGCAATCAGTACGAGTATTTGAGAATCGTCAAATATTAACCTAAAAAGAATGTAGCAGAGTTAACCTACTTTGTCGACATAACCTCCATCCATCTTTGACAAAGTTCCCCCTGCCTTCGAACGAACCAAGAATCGATTCCACGATCGAATTTCCACGCGAACAAGAGCCCGTGATACGAATCTTCTCGCTCGTTAATCGCTCATTAACGCATTCGTTAAACGTGACAAAGCGGATGAGTCGGCCCTTGTCGCACGTGCGACAATTTATTTCGCGGCCGCGGATATTTCGGTGGCCAATAAAGTTTCCTCAATAATGATGATATCTGATAGGGTTCCGATAATAGAAAGGTCGGCTAGAAGTTAGGCAGCCGGCCCAGTTTTTCGTGTATCCGTAACACGCACGAGCACACTCACGGTGACAAATATTTTTCAAGGTAACCCAGTTGAAATATTCCACCACCACTCTCCTCGAGAGCGTAGCCGATTTAATAATTCCCCAGTTTGTTGCCAATCCCGAAAGTCTGCTCGCTTGTTACATTATGCGACATAATGACTCGATCGCGAACGAATTTTCCAAATCTGATCGAAGCGTGACGAAATGAAAGAAACAAAATGTTGCTGGAACAATTTTTAATAAGAGAAATATTGGATTGGATTATTTTTAGAGATCGTAAGATGCCGTGGAATTTCTTGAATCTTTTGCGTTGCGGTAATTTATTGGCTAATAAAATGATAAGTTGACAAGTGATAAATTATAAATCATATATTTCTGTGTGATAAATAACAATGAATGAGATAATGAGACAATTAGATAATATGCTAAAAAATTTATTAGCATTTTCAGTAGTCAGTAGGGTTATTAATATTCTAAGTATCTAGGAATTTAGAGATTCCTAGATTTTTTTTTTCTCATTGTATTATTCTGTTAAAAATAATTATATCATTTTTATATTTTATAGAATTAAGATAAGTTTCGAATATTAAAACGGATCACAAAAATTAATTCTTTTTTATTAATTTTTAATTTTCTCACTAGAAATGACAAATGTTCCTAATTGTCTTTAATTTATTTAATATTCCAGAACAATATTTCAAATTTCATATTAACATTGCTATTATTCATTAGGAAGAAAAATTAATTTCACGAATTAATTTTCCAAGAAAGAGAATAGTTTAAATTCGAAGAAATTTCGAAAAACAAACCACTCCAAAAGTTGGCCCACCGTTTCGACTGGTAAAATATGACATACGAGAAAATCTAGTGTCGTATGCAGTTTCTAAACAGCTCGCAATTGGCAGGAATTATACGTGCGATGTAACATGAGTTCAGAAATAATATACCATAGTTGAAAAATAAATGGTACAATTTAATCCTTTATCCAAGCATCATAAAGACGTTTTAAAAATGCGTAAAAGATATCTTGCCTATTTGTCTTGTATACAAATCTTTTAAAGATATTTCTTAATTTAATTAATAATATTTTTCGGAAAATATCTTTTAAAAATTGTATGAAGCTTGGATAATCATTTTTCAATGCACACTATAAATTAAATCGTTAAATTACTAGCTAATCAAAAAATTTGAAAAACATTTCCAATTCTTTTCCAGCATTTAAAATCAATCAAATTTTTACTCTTCCATTACAATCGCACAGATCAAAATTTCTGGTTTCAAAAATAATCAGATTGTTATCATTGTTTACATTGTTAGCTCACTACAATATTTAAATGACGACGTATACGGCGTAATGCCAATGCCAAGATTTATAAATTGGGAAATTTGGTGGGAGACGATTTGTCGAAATCTGATACGAAATCACTCAAATTAACTCTCCGTCTTGGAGAAACCGGAGGGAAAGGATTTTAAATTAAAACCTGGTGCCGGATGCTACGACTATGGCTGGCGCCATATCAAAAGGCACACTTGCTCCTCACGCCAAGTATGTAAGAAATGAGAACGACTACCTCGATCATGTCTATTCCTGAGTTTCTACCTGATCAACTTCATTTCATTTCACTTCACATTCAAGAGTAAAAGTTACCAAAGTTACACGAGATCTCATTTCTAGGTTAGTTGGCCATTTTTCATTCAGTACTCTCTCACGCTTTACGTGTACCATTTCAAGTATATGGGAATTATACTTGTACGTGATTCCAAGAAAATAAGATGGATTTCAAAGATGAAAGAAATATCATGAAGATGCTGTTTTAATTTGGAAACTGGAATTGTGCCATTTCTTTCCTTTTTCTTCTTGAATTTTTAATTTCTAAATGTTTTTTTTTCTTTAATTAAAGAATTAAATTTTTTATAAAAATATAATCTTTTGAAATAATCTTTTTTTTATTTTTTATCCGAAAAAAAAAGTTTTAGAATTAAAAACTTCTACAAGGTTAAAATTTTCTTGATATCAAATAATTATATTTTTTATTTTTCATATGGAAAAAATATCTTTTGCAATTTAAATATTAATATGATTCTCGCAGTGCCATCTCCTTGTAATAGCGCATCAACTAAATTGTGGAATGATATAATAAAACCCAGATGATATTTTTGCAATAGTGCTATCCATCTTGTGGTGCCATCTTTTTTTACCTGACTGCGAACATTTTAAAAGATCAAATGATAATAAAGATTATAATAAGTTCAATTAAAAATGAAATCTTTTGTCAAATTTCATTAAATTAATAACTTACTTTTATATTATAATTTTATTTTATTATGTTACTATATCAACATTTTTACAAAAAATAATATAAATAACATATTCAAATAAATATATTTTAAATGTTCATTATCATATTTATCATCATCATTATAATAAAAATCAATTCTTTCGTACAAAATTTATTTTCAATATCAAGATTAATTTATATAGAAATTAAAAAATTTTATAATTTTTTTTATGTAATATTAATAATGCATTTTAACTATGTTTAAAATGTATTCAAAACTTGGACGTTAATGACAAAGGGTTAAATTTTTTCTTGTTGAAAAATCCAAGATAGCTGATTCAATAAAAGAATATATTAATAACGATGGAATACATTTCTCCACCATTTTCTAAAATTATACGACGTAAATCCACGCATCTGGAAGGAGCTAAAATAAATTTAGATCGACCTGTTACGATGAAGGCCGTGCCAAGCTCTCGAATCTCGTGGCAAATGTGTATACAACAACGATACACAATGCTAATTACAATATCACTATTTTCGTGCCGCTGCAAACTCGGAAGCCAACATGTCTCGATGCGATTCAATTCATTTCCACCTGTTATTTGTCGTCAAACAAGCAATTTTCGCGATTTTGTTAATAACAGTGGGTGTTTCATGATTAATTTGAATTATTTCATCCGATGTACAATTCGAATAAATATACCAATAAATATCGAATTAAGTATTTTTCTTTTACTTTTAAGTTAAAGATCTTTGAATCGTTTAAATTAAAGATGTATTGTAAAAATTTTTTAATATTAAAAAGATTAATTTTTAAATTAAAAATTTGTTTAGAAATTAAAAACTCGAGAAATATTTCATAGAAAGTTTAAAAGTTGAATAATTTTAATTTTTTTTAATAATTTAAATAAACAAAATTTTTTAAGTAATTGTTATAAGTAAATTTTATATAGTAAATAAAACATCAAATAGTACAATGAATTCATTCTCAGGATCGATATGGGTACACATGAAAGTCATTCAGAAGTTAAATGGCACCAAAGTAGAATTGTATTACGTTAAAATTTATTATAAATTCAATGACTGCATTGTATAAATTCCAACAACGTAATACGAAACTTTTAATAAACTTTCGTATTTATTTACTAGAAAATCATGCGAACAAAATTATAACAACATGCAATCTCGTTTATTTTTTTCTTCAAAAAATAAAAATCAAAACTTTCTATAAACCATGGTAACCTTCGAAAAGTCATATATTTTTATTCCTTTCTAATTATATTCTTTACGTCGTCACGATTTGTTAAAATTTTATCGTTTCTTCCAAAATTTTTCTCTCTTAACTTTTCTCTCTTTCCTGTTTCCTTTTTTGTATTCTTTTCAACAATGTGACATTTTTTATCAAATTTAATTCTCAATTAAATTAGTGACAAATTAAATCAGAAATGCATCAGTGACGCATTTAAAGATTTTCAGAAACAAAATTTCTATTTTGAAAATTTGGAAATAGCGAAAATTTCGAAAATACCTATTAAAATAAATCATACGATAAATTAAGGAAAGTGATGCTAAATCTGTATTTAGAGATCAAAAATACTACACATGATGCTTCTACTAAACAATGTAATAAAGTTATTACTGACCATCTGTTTTATTCATTATTTTGCCTCATAATTTTATCTAATCTTCTCGAAGAAATCGAGAAGAAAATTAAAAATATCCGATTTACTGTAGACAATGGACCTAATGGATCAAGGATAATGTCGATTAAACAAATTCGTTCTTAAATTATAAATATATGTTATATATATATATATTATTTAATTACAAAATACAAAATAAGTACAATATATATATACACGTACATACAAAATATAAATTTTTCTCGGATCTAAACCAGCCAATTAGGATTTACTTTCCTAGAAGAATTTTGCGGGTGGCACCAATGCTTTGACCCGATTGGGTAGCACCTTTATTGGAACCGGCTTGCAGACCAATCACAGTTTGCCCAGCACGCAGTTGCTCCTCAGTGAAATCACGTTTACATTCATCAGCTGGTTTGGGTCCTAGATAGGGTCCTTTCCATTCTGGGTGCTTATATGTCTATGGTAAAAAAGGAGAATTACACATGAAACTAATGAACTTAGAAAAGTTACAAAGATATTACTAAAGAAATATTATTAGTGATATTTTAAATTTAATATAAGAAAAAGCTTTCAATTTAAAAAGCTAAAATTTGAATTGAAATTTGAAGCAATGCTGAATTTCATTCCATTCATGAAATATATTATTAATCCATTTATGGATTACTTCATTCATATTAAATATTCAATGCTACTTTTTTGGACATTATACGTAACGACATTAATATCATTATATGTCTATTATTCATGATGCTATAACTAAATGCACTTAATATTTATATTTAATAATACATGTAAATCAACTCTTAGTTAACTTACCGTACGACCAAGAGCAAAGAGAGTCGTCACAACCTGTGCGATGTCTTTTTTCTCCCACAAGTCGACTGTTTGGAATACATCAACGTCAGCTACGCCATAATCCTTTAGAGCTTTCTGGAATCTAGTTTAAAATAGAATTTAAAAAAATCTCTTTCCAAATGATATAATCCAACGAATAAATTTATCATAGTTGCAATATTATATTTTAAATATTTTTTTAAATTTATACGATTATATTTTTAATTTATTATGAAACAAAATCTTACGCGTTGATGTTTTCCATCATTTTGAATTGACCACCAGAACTGTTGATCTTTGAGATCGATCCTGGGGAAATCTTGTTCATCAGGTGACACAGCACTTGTCCATCCTTAATAACATCCTCGAACAGTTCACCAGGTGGGAATTTTTTGCCCAAAATAGACTCGATCCATTCTTGAGCTTCTTTTTCCTGCTCTGGATTACGCTTTGCAGCGATCTACAAGAAAAATTAAAATGAAATTACAGTTCTCATGAATAAAGAGATCATTGGAATATTTATATCATAAAATTTATATATTCTATTAAATCTAGATATACATATATATATATATTTTTTATTAATTAACAATCATTTACAAAATTCTACTTTCATGGATATAATACATTTTTAAGAAAAATATTTTTAAAGATATTTCTAAATATATGTTTCAAATTCTTTCCCTCAAAAACTCGTTTAACATTCGCATGAAACTTGTGTCCAAAGTTTTCAAATCCAAAAATCCAAAATTTCAAATATTCAGAAAAAAAACGACATCCTCTTTGTGAAAAAAAAAAAAAGAAACTCTAACAAATACGATTTTAATTCAGCAAACTGTCGCCATAATGCCGTTAATAAAAGTCACGATAATTCACAAAATGGAATTTGGAAAACCATTCTGAACGAGATTAATTTGCAACGGTCCTTGCGAACTAAACGACCCGTCCACGATTACTGATGCACAAAGATCCTCGTGTTATCATACCTTGGCGCGCACTTGACGTTCGAGAGCCATTCTTGTATCCTGTGTAGTTTCTTGAAGAGGACTGAAGTGCTTGGTCCGAGGGCTGCTCCCTCTTATACTCGTGAAAGATGGCGGGAATACGACCCACGCTCCGGAGGAAGGTGGTCCAACACGGGTGGAGCCCTCGTGTGTTTCGAAAAAGACCACGCTACATCCGTGTCCGTGTACGTGCTTTCCACGCTTTTCGACGATCTAATATTAGCGGCTTATTCACTTGGACAGTAGGATTTCCAAAATCGCGGCTGCCAAACTGCATCTCTACGATAAACACGGGAATCGTTCCACATGCAATGGATAGGATATGGGGAATGGATGTGATCACATAGATTTAAGAAGAAATCCGTGAACAAGAGTGCAAATATATTTAATACAACTCTCGAGAATTATCCTCAGGGACTATTAGATGTTCACTTTTTCAAAGAATATTGTCAAAAGTTATACTCTCAAATAATTATATTGTATTCTAAGAAAGAATTGAAGAAGTATTCATCGTTAAGAGGAGAGATGTATATACGTGAGAGGTATTAATATGATTTTGGAATGAAAATGAGATGAATCAATATATGTGTATATATGGAAAATGATTATTTTGTATTTTAGTTAATTTACAGTTTATTCTGTATTTTATTTCACATTTTTAATATGCAATGTCTCGTTTGTTTGATCCTTTTTGGTAGAAATATTGGTAATGACTTGGAAGGCTGACTAATTCTAGGCAGATTCTACTTCCGCTTTCTTGATTATACTGATTGTTCACTTACTTACTTATTTCTTTTATTTTGAACGATTAATCATGCTATTTATTTAATTATTAACTATGTTGGAGTATATTATAGTAATAACAAAATCTAAATTTTGTAAATAAGTTTTTAAAAAAATTTTAAAATTAGTTTCTTATCATTTTAGCATTTTTACCATTTTTAAAAAAATGACTAAAAATTTTAAATTTAATTGTAGTAAAATAATATAAATATTTTAGTATTTGATAAGTAAAAAAAAATTTTTACAAATTATTAAAGATCTAAATCTAAAAAATCTTCAACTTAATTCATTAGATAGTTATATTTATAGTTTCTTAGATTCTTCATGGTTATAAAATGAGTTTCAAACATTTAAAAAGAAAAAAGAAATTTTAATTTACGCAAGATGTTGTGTTTTCTTTAAAATGTTTTTTCTTTAAATAACTAACCGCTATATAGGTCGAGTTATTATTGCGTTGATCTACTTTTTGAATTTATGTAAAGAGCCAACAAAAAACCCGCCAAAATATAGATAATTTAAAATTTTTTATTGAAGATGGCGTATAAAGATTTTTTAAAATTTTAAACCTAAAAAAAATACAATTTTTTTGTGTACAAAATATATATATTCTTGAAGTTTGATTATTTATTATAAATTAAAGTAATTAAGAAATATAATAGGAATATAATAAAAACTTTATTGTTATTATTTATAAAATCATTCTTTTTCCTTTTAATACATACACAAATGAATATATAAAATTTAAAGATAATATATACTAGATAATGTATACTAAATAAGACTAGATGTATACTAGATAATATTGATATTTCTTAATTGTAAAAAATTATGAAGAATCGTTTTTCATAATTTAAATAGAATATTTTGTTAAAGATATTAAATAATTTTATCGAAAAACAATAATGGAGAATTGTGCAATCATAACTTTTATTTCAATGATATGAAAGATTATTCACTGGCGAAATCGTTAGCTAGTGACTCAGATTTAAATATAATCACGACATCCTGCGTATTTTCATTTCCTCTTTTCGCTGTCAGTATACTTTTTATCGAATTCAATAATTTTGACTATTTCGAATATTTTTTTAAGTCAAAAATTATTAAATTCATTATTTATTCATTTAATAACACTATATATCAATATAATATCTATTATTAAAATTTTTAATAAAATATATCTATATAATGATATGATCTGTATATAATCTGTATAATAATGTAAATATGATATAAATAGAAAATTATTTTTATCTTTTCTAACGATTATCTCGCAAGAAAAATAACTGAAACTAATTATCAATATTTAATTTTTATATTTAATTTTGAATTTAAACATTTATAATTCAAATATGAATCGTTCAAAATAAAATCTCCACGCAATTTATGATTAATTATTATTATATTTTTATGAGAATTCGCGTGCGCATAGTATTCAAGGTATTCTATTATTAATATCTATTAATCATTTATTCAATGTTCAATAGAATTCAAAGTGTTATTATATTATAGTGAAGAATTTTGAAAATTTATACCAATATCTATGAAAATTTGTGAAATGAATTTTTATGAAAAATCTTTTTATTATTTTATTGAAAAATATAAATAAAGATTTAATAATATTTAAAATATTTAAAAAAAAATGTTTTATTTTTTAATATTATGTTAAAGTAAATAATATATAATTAAAATTTTATTATTCGATTTATTAAAACATAATATCAATGTTATAATAAATTTTTATTAAATAATTAAATTTTTTGAATAAGAAATAAAGTGATAAAAATGATTTTTAAAAATTATTAATATAATATAATTTTATTTTAGATTTATTTTTTCATAAAAATTTATTTCATATATTATTTTTATTGATTATTAATTATATTAAATCAATTCTTTTATTTGATTAGATTCAATAATTTAAAATTACATTACACACTGCAGTCAACACAAAAAGAATCCCCTACAAATGCAACAACAATGATGCCCTCTTAAGGATGAAATAGAAAACTTGTTTATCCATAATCTGCCGCTTTTCGGGAACTTATATTATTACTTTACGTACCAGAAAGTGGATAGAAGCTTTAAAGGCGTAGGTTATTTTTTAATTATCCAGAAGATTTATTTTATATTCTTTTTTTCTCCGTTTCTTTTTCCATATTTCAACTCACATGAAGCCATAAAATATTGCAGTTTGAAGCGTTCCAAGTAGAACTGTTGTGATAGAAAAATGCACTCGATTCTGATGGATGAAATCTGTCGAAAGTTCTAACAGTGTTTAATATTTACTCTTATCTTCTTATCATTTTGTGAATTTTATCATTAATTAATAATGTTATATTACTTATAAAATAACATAAATTGTGATTTAAGTAAGGTTATAATTAGGTACGCTTTTGAAGGTTATGTTTTTGATTTCTCAAATGATTTGACAGAAAAGTTTAAATGTTTAAAAGATATTAAATTTTATTCTTTGTAAAAATAAACGATTTTATGTACAATAATGAGATGTAAATAAATTTACTTTTTTAATAAACTATTGTACATTTTGATAGTATTCGTATAATTTTGTTATAATAATAAAATATGAATAATTTAATTCAAACTAATTATAAATAATTTAAGAATATTTGTATACATAAAAAGTTTATTAATTTCAATCAGTAGGACAATCACCAAAGAAACATGGCACAAAGATTTCCTGTACCAAATACAGGGAATAATGGTCCTCCTCCACAAAGATATGCAGCATCATCTGTGCCTCCAAATCTACGACAGTATTCTGGTCCAAATTTTCCTGTAAGTATTTAATAAATAAATTGAATTAAATGAAATTAAATTATTAAAAAATTAATTCATTGTGCAGATGCAACAGAGATCTGGATTTACTCCTCCTCCACAAATGGCTAATGCAGGACCTGGACCAGCTAGTATAATAAGAGCAAATCAACCTTATTCAAATATGCGTCAAGGACCTATGCCTACTCCACCAGTTGGGAAAAGAAGTGCAGATCAACGTATTCCTATGTCACAACAGAAACCGTAAGTGCATTAATAATGCATGATTTTATTTAATTTTGCATTTGTATTTATATTATTTTGCTCATTAACTCATTGCATTAAATTATTAATAAATGCATTGATTAGTCATTTTTATTGAAAAATAATTCTTAGTATTTATTATTTCATATTTCAAAAAGCAATATGTCAATTGATTAATTTGGTTTTTTAATCATTAAATTATTAATTTGTTTTGTCATTGAAATTACAATATTTAAAAAAACCATTCACCAAATTCACCAGGAACTTCACTGCATTTCATAAGCTTCAAAATTGGTTTATTGATTTTTGAATCTATGATTTTTACACAAACTCATATAGGTATTTTTGGAACAGTGATTTTTCACATTCCACATCCAAGAAGAAGAAAAAGTTGGCAGATAAAATATTGCCACAAAAAGTGCGCGATTTAGTACCTGAATCTCAGGCTTACATGGACTTACTCGCGTTTGAAAGAAAATTAGACGCGACTATAATGAGAAAACGACTTGATATACAAGAAGCTCTAAAACGTCCAATGAAACAAAAACGGAAATTACGAATATTTATTTCTAATACATTTTACCCGGCAAAAGAAGCTGGTGAGGGCGAAGAAGGATCAGTTGCATCTTGGGAACTTAGAGTTGAAGGACGACTTTTAGACGATACAAAAAATGATCCTAATAAGGTGAAAATTATCGTAAAAAAAACAAATAAACGATCGTTAAAAATGCAAGATATTAATATATAGTTTAATTTTTAGGTGAAAAGAAAATTTTCTTCCTTTTTTAAAAGTTTAGTTATAGAATTAGATAGAGATCTATATGGACCCGATAATCACTTAGTTGAATGGCATCGCACATTAACAACACAAGAAACAGATGGTTTTCAAGTAAAAAGACCTGGAGATAAAAATGTTCAATGCACTATTCTTTTACTTCTTGACTATCAACCTTTACAGGTTAGAGAACTTTATAGAAACTTTTTTTCTATATTTTTTTATTCGTTCTTTAATTATTAATAAAACTTATTTGACTATTTAATAAAACTTGCAAAAACTTGAATATATCAAAAAATAAATATCTGACATTCTAATCAAATCGAAATATTAAAAAGAATTTCTCAAGATGCAAATAATTTTTATAATTTAAAATAAAGATAAAAATTTTTCGCATATTCCTAATATAATTAATATGTATAAAATAAAAATATAAAAATGTGTAAAATTTAAGAGAAAAATTTTTTGGTTGCAGTTTAAATTAGATCCTAGATTAGCACGGCTTTTAGGTGTACATACCCAAACGCGACCCGTTATCATAT